CGCAACATGGACATACAGACTACCAACAACAGTCGGGTAGTCAAGACACCAGAACATCAACATTCACAAAAGCAACTGCAAGAAGCAATGACCACTCAAGATCAACAAAATCTTACAACACAAGAGACAGACATCAAAAGCTAATGCAGTCTGATATGCAACAACACCAACAAAGAAGTATAGAACAGCAGAGATGCTCATGTTGCAACAACACAAGAGGCGGGCACGAACAATCAATGCAGCCCGATATGCAGCAACAAAGAGCTACAAATGACGTATGTTACTCTCCCCTTCACCAAACAAGAACTAATCAGAGCCAAAAAAGGCGGTAAGGACACTGCACCAGGTGCTGATAACATTACATACTCAATGATCACACATGCAGGTCCTGCTGGAGAACAAGGAATATTGGACGTTATCAATTTTTCTTAGGAGTTAGGCAAACTACCGACCTCTTGGAAGAAAGCAGATATCATTCCTATTCCTAAGCCGAAAGAACCTGGCAATTACAGACCCATTTCATTAACATCAGAACGAATGGTCTCAAAACTGCAGAACGGATGGTCTTAAATTGGCTACTGTGGAAGACTGGAGACCTGCATAAGCACATATTTGGCTTCACTAGAGGAGTAGGTACTGCCAACTGCATAGCAGCATTATTAGGAACAGTTAACTCAGGTCCGGTTATAGTGATCTTCCTTGATCTAGAAATCTCGAACTTGCAAGCCCGCAAGCAATTTTACACTCCTTAGTTAAAAAAGTGTAAAGGGAAATATGCGAGCATGGATTCAAGATTACCTAAGTCACAGGTATGATAGAATAAAGCTGCAAGGACAAGTGTCGGACTACCACTTGCATGAGAATGGGACTCCACAAGGTGGAGTCCTAAGTCCTAGTCTTTTTAACATTCTTATGGAAAACCTCACTAACATGACATTTGCAGAAAAAGTTAAATTGCTAAGCTATGCTGATGATATAGCATTAGTTATCACAGTTCCTTCACTTTTAAATAAAGCACAAGAGGCGTTAGATAAAGTAACATCTGAATGCAGCATTTTAGGGTTAATAATATCTGCACGGCAGTCTAAGGTAATGAAACTAGATGGCAACACTCTAGACAGACACTAATACATTCAAGACATTAACCTTCAGTGGGTTACACAATATCAATATTTTGGAGTGTGGATAGATTCTAAAATGACATTCAGCAAATTCAATATCTGAAGGAGAGAGCAAAATCGCGACTGAATATAATGCGCAACCACAGGGCCCCGTCTCGAAAAGGGACACAAAATGTTAAGAATGTTTTACATACACGTCGTTCGTTCCCTAGTTGATTAAGCAGCGCCTGCCTTCTCACTCTTTCTCCTGACCAGTGGGCAAACGTTGAGGTTATTCAAAATGATGCAGTGAGAATCCTAACAGGGGGCTCCCAGATGAACTAAAGTACTGAACCTAAGACTAGAAACAACTAACATCGATTGAAATAAGTGTAGAGGGGAATGCTGCCTGTATGCTTACCAAGATATTGACCAGACCAAGCATCAGTTCACCTAAAGATATAATCACTGGAACACTAACTCTGGACAGAAGAGCTTCCAATAGCAACAAGTGGACCCATTGTGAAATAAACACCTTGAATACATTCGTTATAACAAATACTGTCACTGAGAAAGATGTGGACGAAATACATGCAGACTTCACTATGCAAGACCCTTGGAAATCGCTGCAAGCAGACTTTAAGATTATTGCTCTTGAAGACAAGAAAAACTAATCCTCATCTGCTACGTAATATTACACAGATGCACATAGAAGCAAACTTAGAATCTGTCAGCTTCACATACTTCACAGATGGATCAGTAGACAAGATGGGACAAGACACCAAAGCTGCAATTAAGGCACGAAATTCTATAGTTAGTTGGAGACCCTCAAACAGGCATTCAACATTACATAGATACTAGCAATTCAAAAGGCTTTGGAACATGTTCTAGCTCAATACCGACAACATGTTATCATTTATATAGATTCGATAACTTCCATTGAAACCTTGCAACAAGATCACATAAGTGACAACATCCATCTGATCACATATCATTAATACAAACACTCAAAGGTCAAGGGCTTCAGATACTTATCAACTGGGTGCCAAGTCATGTGGGAATATTAGGGAATAACATTGCAAACGAAGCTGCAAAAGTAAGAAAAGAAATGTATATATTTATATACCACAGAGTCTATCATAGACTGAGAAAGAAAATAGAAATAGAGCAATGCAAAAGATGTACAGTGACTTCAACACAGTAGCTTCAACATTAGGATCTGCAGGTTAGTGCAAGAATTCAACCAACTACGAATCACTTAGTTTCATGAAAGGGAGCAGTAGAGCAACAGAAGTACACTTACATCACATCAGGCTTGGATACTTATGTGCATGGGAAATAGGCTTACAGGTTCCAGAAGATGAGAGAAAATGTCAACACTGTGGAGAAATGCCCGGCAGACCACTGGAACATTATCTAACACAGTGCACAGTTACCCATTAAGATTTCAACTTAGATTCAACAGAGCAGTTGTTAAACACATGGGACAAAATCCTACTGAAGCGACCATACGAGTCATAAATACTCATACTCCGCCCAAGTAAAACAGAAACAAGCAACACTTAGTAGGCCAGCCAGGGGCTTAGGGCCCGCGCAGAAATTCCGCTGCCAAAAAATATAAACCTCCTTGACACAGTCGTACCACCTCCCTGACACAGTCGTACCACCTCCCTGACACAGTCGTACCACCTCCCTGACACAGTCGTACCACCTCCCTGACACAGACGTACCACCTCCCTGACACAGTCGTACCACCTCCCTGACACAGTCGTACCCCCTCCCTGACACAGTCGTACCACCTCCCTGACACAGTCGTACCACCTCCCTGACACAGTCGTACCCCCTCCCTGACACAGACGTACCACCTCCCTGACACAGTCGTACCACCTCCCTGACACAGTCGTACCACCTCCCTGACACAGTCGTACCACCTCCCTGACACAGTCGTACCCCCTCCCTGACACAGACGTACCACCTCCCTGACACAGTCGTACCACCTCCCTGACACAGTCGTACCCCCTCCCTGACACAGTCGTACCACCTCCCTGACACAGTCGTACCACCTCCCTGACACAGTCGTACCACCTCCCCGACACAGTCGTACCACCTCCCCGACACAGTCGTACCACCTCCCTGACACACAGTCGTACCACCTCCCTGACACAGACGTACCACCTCCCTGACACAGTCGTACCACCTCCCCGACACAGTCGTACCACCTCCTCGACACAGTCGTACCACCTCCCTGACACAGTCGTACCACCTCCCTGACACACAGACGTACCACCTCCCTGACAGAGACGTACCACCTCCCTGACACACAGTCGTACCACCTCCCTGACAGAGACGTACCACCTCCCTGACACACAGACGTACCACCTCCCTGACACACAGTCGTACCACCTCCCTGACACACAGTCATACCACCTCCCTGACACACAGACGTACCACCTCCCTGACACACAGACGTACCACCTCCCTGACACAGTCGTACCACCTCCCCGACACAGTCGTACCACCTCCTCGACACAGTCGTACCACCTCCCTGACACAGTCGTACCACCTCCCTGACACACAGACGTACCACCTCCCTGACAGAGACGTACCACCTCCCTGACACACAGTCGTACCACCTCCCTGACAGAGACGTACCACCTCCCTGACACACAGACGTACCACCTCCCTGACACAATCGTACCACCTCCCTGACACACAGACGTACCACCTCCCTGACACACAGACGTACCACCTCCCTGACACACAGTCATACCACCTCCCTGACACACAGACGTACCACCTCCCTGACACACAGACGTACCACCTCCCTGACACACAGACGTACCACCTCCCTGACACACAGACGTACCACCTCCCTGACACACAGACGTACCACCTCCCTGACACACAGACGTACCACCTCCCTGACACACAGTCATACCACCTCCCTGACACACAGACGTACCACCTCCCTGACACACAGACGTACCACCTCCCTGACACACAGTCATACCACCTCCCTGACACACAGACGTACCACCTCCCTGACACACAGACGTACCACCTCCCTGACACACAGTCATACCACCTCCCTGACACACAGACGTACCACCTCCCTGACACACAGACGTACCACCTCCCTGACACACAGACGTACCACCTCCCTGACACACAGTCATACCACCTCCCTGACACACAGACGAATCACTTCCATGATGAGGGTGATGACATAAGAACATAAGAACAAAGGTAACTGCAGGCGGCCTATTGACCCATACGAGGCAGCTCCTATCTATAACCACCCAATCCCACTCATATACTTGTCCAACCCGCGCTTGAAACAATCGAGGGACCCCACCTCCACAATGTTACGCGGTAAGTGGTTCCACAAATCAACAACCCTGTTACTGAACCAGTATTTACCCAAGTCTTTCCTAAATCTAAACTTATCCAATTTATACCCATTGTTTCGTGTTCTGTCTTGTGTTGATACTTTTAATACCCTATTAATATCCCCTTTGTTATGTCCATTCACCCACTTGTACACCTCTATCATGTCACCCCTAACTCTTCGCCTTTCCAGTGAATGCAACTTAAGCTTAGTTAATCTTTCTTCATATGAAAGATTTCTAATTTGGGGAATTAACTTAGTCATCCTACTTTGGACACGTTCAAGTGAATTTATATCCATTCTATAATATGACAACACTGATGATGATAATGACAATGACGTAATTCTCCCCTAAATCATTGTTGTACCCCTTCCCTGATACACTGTCGTACCGTTCCCCGGTATACCGACGTACCACTGTCAGCGACGTGTCTCCTCTTCGGCTATTCCTTCTCCTGCGAGCCTAGAGCACCACTGTTGTTTACTGGCTAACCAATGAGTGTTATCTGTATCTAAACATCTGTCACGACCAGAGTATTGTTCAGCACGTGACAACAGTACACCTGAAGCCTTGTCATTCTCAACACTGACGCGCCCCCATGACACGTTACGCTCTCATGACACGTCACGCTCCCATGACACGTCACGCCTCCATGACACGTCACGCCCCCATGACACGTCACGCTCTCATGACACGTCACGCTCTCATGACACGTCACGCTCCCATGACACGTCACGCCCCCATGACACGTCACGCCCCCATGACACGTCACGCTCCCATGACACGTCACGCCTCCATGACACGTCACGCCCCCATGACACGTCACGCTCTCATGACACGTCACGCTCCCATGACACGTCACGCCCCCATGACACGTCACGCTCTCATGACACGTCACGCCCCCATGACACGTCACGCCCCCATGACACGTCACGCTCTCATGACACGTCACGCTCCCATGACACGTCACGCCTCCATGACACGTCACGCCCCCATGACACGTCACGCCCCCATGACACGTCACGCCCCCATGACACGTCACGCCCCCATGACACGTCACGCCCCCATGACACGTCACGCCCCCATGACACGTCACGCTCCCATGACACGTCACGCCCCCATGACACGTCACGCCCCCATGACACGTCACGCCTCCATGACACGTCACGCCCCCATGACACGTCACGCCCCCATGACACGTTGCCACAACCTCCATGAACTAACCCAACCTAACCTTCCTAGGCCTAATATACGCTGATACCTAATATAGTACATATGTGTGCTATACTTGGCCTATGAATATTTATGTTCGTTTTTTAGGACTATAAAGTGAATAGTGCAAAAATTCTACTGTCTAATTGCTTAGTACGTCAACGTTTGTACTGTGGTGCAAAAAAGGTACCATCTGAGGAGGAGGATGGGTTGCACTTCTCGTACCATCAAGAAGAAGAGCATTCTTTCAGCGTTCATTCGTCGAAAAGCGGAAAACACCTCGTGATGCATATATTCCACCTCACACACAATCCAAAACACGAAATTATATATTCGTATTTTCAGGTGTCAACTGCACCCACTAGCACGTCGTCTGACAGCTCGTCCTCACCCCTACCAAAATTTCAAACAATCCATGGTCACTTTCATTCCATTAAAGAATACCAATTCAAATGTTCAAGTAAAATGTAAATCAACTTATCCACTTTCGAATTAAAATAAGATTTAAAGCTAAGAAATGCTTACCATTATTGCCAATGTAAGAGACGGGATTCTCGTTTATATATCAGCAAAAGTTTCCAGTGGGAAGTGATAGTAACAGACTTTCCGAATGGTGCTTCTATGTCCACTTCAATCACGCTCTACAGACAGAACAAGAAGACTGAGTGAGGTGGAGGAGTGGTGGTAGTGCGTGGGACGGTGGGTGGCAGGCGTGTGGGCGACCTACGCCAGCACCCCCACGCTCGTGAACTACGGCGCCCCTGGGGGAGTGTCCCCTGGATGACTCCCACTCCCCTCCCTGCAGCACTCTCACTGGAGCTTGCTCTAAATAACTGTCTTATTTAGACGTCCATCGTTTTGTGAAAACATATGTTTAAAATACAAACTAGTGGCACAATGAAGCTCACTTGCAGGGAGAAATTAAACAAGGAGTACAGCATATGTGTGTTTGTGTATATATATATATATATATATATATATATATATATATATATATATATATATATATATATATATATATATATATCTATATATATATATCTATATATATATATATCTATATATATATATATATATATATATATATATATATATCTATATATATATATATATATGTCGTACCTAGTAGCCAGAACGTACTTCTCAGCCTACTATGCAAGGCCCGATTTGCCTAATAAGCCAAGTTTTCATGAATTAATTGTTTTTCGAATACCTAACCTACCTAACCTAACCTAACCTAACTTTTTCGGCTACCTAACCAAACCTAACCTATAAAGATAGGTTAGGTTAGGTTAGGTAGGGTTGGTTAAGTTCGGTCATATATCTACGTTAATTTTAACTCCAATAAAAAAAAATTGACCTCATACATAATGAAATGGGTAGCTTTATCATTTCATAAGAAAAAAAATAGAAAAAATATATTAATTCAGGAAAATTTGGCTTATTAGGCAAATCGGGCCTTGAATAGTAGGCCAAAAAGTGAGTTCTGGCTACTAGGTACGACATATATATATATATATATATATATATATATATATATATATATATATATATATATATATATATATATATATATATATATATATATATATATATATTATTAAATATGAACGAAAAAGTAAGATTAATAATTCTAACACGAATTTTCTCAATATTTCTTATGTTTCTTTTCACTGTCAATGGTAATTGAAAAATCAATTTTCCAAAATTCATTTTTATTTCTAGTCTGACGCGACACTTGAACGCATTTCGTAATAACTTATTACATTTTCAAATACTTTAGTTTACACACACACAACTATAACAAGCAAACACTAAACAGAGTTCTACTATGCTATAATTTAAACGGCTTTCATTTTATATACCTGCATTTGGGTGAGGTGAAAACAGTTTTGGATGAGGTGAAAACAAACTTTCAACACGAGACAGAACACGAAAAAATGGGTATAATATTGGGTAAGTTAAAGGGAAGAATGGAAGTAACTGCAAAGGGCCTATTGGCCCATATTTCTTGATGCTTCTATATTGGTGCGGAGTCTTGAAGTGGGTAGAATATAGTTATGCATTAATTGGCTGTTGATTGCTGGTGTTGACTTCTTGATGTGTAGTGCCTCCCAGATATCAAGCCGCCTGCTATCGCTGTATCTATCGATGATTTCTTTGTTTTTTGTTAAGACTTTGTTAAGACTATATATATATATATATATATATATATATATATATATATATATATATATATATATATATATATATATATATATATATATATATATGTCGTACCTAGTAGCCAGAACGCACTTATCAGCCTACTATGCAAGGCCCTATTTGCCTAATAAGCCAAGTTTTTCTGAATTAATATATTTTCTCTAATTTTTTTCTTATAAAATGATAAAGCTACCCATTTCATTATGTATGAGATCAATTTTTTTTTATTGGAGTTAAAATTAACGTAGATATATGACCGAACCTAACCAACCCTGCCTAACCTAACCTAACCTATCTCTATAGGTTAGGTTAGGTTAGGTAGCCGAAAAAGTTAGGTTAGGTTAGGTTAGGTAGGTTAGATAGTCGAAAAATAATTAATTCATGAAAACTTGGCTTATTAGGCAAATCGGGCCTTGCATAGTAGGCTGAGAAGTGCGTTCTGGCTACTAGGTACGACATATATATATATATATATATATATATATATATATATATATATATATATATGTCGTACCTAGTAGCCAGAACGCACTTATCAGCCTACAATGCAAGGCCCGATTTGCCTAATAAGCCAAGTTTTCATGAATTAATATGTTTTCTCTAGTTTTTTTCTTACGAAATGATAAAGCTACCCATTTCATTATGTATGAGGTCAATTTTTTTTAATGGAGTTAAAATTAACGTAGATATATGACCGAACCTAACCAACCCTACCTAACCTAACCTAACCTATCTTCATAGGTTAGGTTCGGTTAGGTAGCAGAAAAAGTTAGGTTAGGTTAGGTTAGGTAGGTTAGGTAGTCGAAAAAAAATTAATTCATGAAAACTTGGCTTATTAGGCAAATCGGGCCTTGAATAGTAGGCTGATAAGTACGTTCTGGCTATTAGGTACGACATATATATATATATATATATATATATATATATATATATATATATATATATATATATATATATATATATATATATATCGTACCTAGTAGCCAGAACGCACTTCTCTGCCTACTATGCAAGGCCCGATTTGCCTAATAAGCCAAGTTTCATCTTGAGGTTATCTTGAGATGATTTCGGGGCTTTTTAGTGTCCCCGCGGCCCGGTCCTCGACCAGGCCTCCACCCCCAGGAAGCAGCCCGTGACAGCTGACTAACACCCAGGTACCTATTTTACTGCTAGGTAACAGGGGCATAGGGTGAAAGAAACTCTGCCCATTGTTTCTCGCCGGCGCCTGGGATCGAACCCAGGACCACAGGATCACAAGTCCAGTGTGCTGTCCGCTCGGCCGACCGGCTCCTTCATGAATTAATTATTTTTCGACTACCTAACCTACCTAACCAAACCAAACCTAACTTTTTCGGCTACCTAACCTATCCTAACCTATAAAGATAGGATAGATTAGGTTAGGTTAGGTAGGGTTGGTTAGGTTCGGTCATATATCTACGTTAATTTTAACTCCAATAAAAAAAAAATTGACCTCATACATAATTAAATGGGTAGCTTTATCATTTCATAAGAAAAAAAATAGAGAAAATAAATTAATTCAAGAAAACTTGGCTTATTAGGCAAATCGGGCCTTGCATAGTAGGCTGAGAAGTGCGTTCTGGCTACTAGGTACGACATATATATATATATATATATATATATATATATATATATATATATATATATATATATATATATATATATATATATATATATATATATATATATATATATATATATATATATATATATATATATATATATATATTTAAATATATATCAAAAAGTAAGTTTTATCAGTATAACAATATATATATGCTCACGTAATATCAAAAAGAGAAAATGGATTAAGTAATGGTTTGTCCTCCTAGAAAATTAATCTAACCTACTGAAACAAAAAGAATACACAGACTTATCTTAGAACATGTTTCCCAGCTCAATGCCCTCAAACCACTGGCGTCTGCCCGACGCTCCAACACGTTCTCGCACTTGCTTATAGTCAATATTGGCTTATATAATAAGTCCATATGTGGCATACTAATTGATTGTGAATATTTTAGTTTACCTTGAAAAGCTTCATAGAAAACACCGACCTCACCTAACCTTCTTAGTATGTTTAGATAAGCATTTTATTGCTTCTTAATTACAATTATTACTTAACCTATACCGTTGATAGGTTAAGTAATAATTGTAAATAATAAGCAATAAGATGCTTATCTTAACATACTAAGAAGATTAGGTGAGGTCGGTGTTTTCTATGAAGCTTTTCAATGTAAACTAAAATATTCACAATCAATTAGTATGTCACATATGCACTTATTAAATAAGCCAATATTGACTATAAGCAAGTGCGAGAACGGGTTGGACGCTCACACCTAAAACACCCCTCCCCCCCCCCCACCTACCACCTAGGTCAGGGGATGGCAAACGAGTACTTTAACATAAAACTAATTTATGAGAAAAGTAATCGTTCTCACACAGACATTAACTAATATTAAATATACTTAGCAAAATCCAAATGACATAATTAAGGGGCAATATGTTTATTAAAGGTAAATTAAAAAATATTAATAGTATAAGAGGTGAACTCAGGCAACCTAACACTTGATCACGGACATTATTCTTGTCCAAAAACTTACCGGTATTAGACAGGTTTGAATCAAGTGAACTCCAACAAGCCCGCTCCTGTCCAAATATGTGTTGCCATGTCCTACTGCACTTACAAGAAAGTAAATTACACATACATGAATAATTAATTATATATTGTTCTCAACAATGAATAAATGTGAGAATCCATGAACTGCATGGATTTCTAAACAC